AATACAGATGAAGAAACTGAGGCCTGAAGACCTGAAGTGACTTGCCCCAAGTTAAGAGTAGTAAGTGGCAGGTCTTCTGACTCCAAACTTCTTTTTACTCTACTCCTTTTTTTTTGCCTTGTAAAGGACTTAGGAATGATTCTCTGTAAGTGTACATGATAGACTGCTTCAAATTTTTGGTTGAGGACCTATACCTAGCCTGGCCTACGAGAAAAAAAAAAAAACAAAGGTCATTCCTTTCTACTACTCCCCTAAAGTAGAATATACTCTTTCTATGTGTGCTAATACTAAACACTACAAGAAAACACAATAGGGTTACAATAATGTGTTCATATCTGACTTTACCTTTTCTCATAGGCAGGGTATAGATCCTCAACCAGATAAAAGAAGTGGTACTTTAACAGATAGGTTAGAGGATTGAGAAATTAAAACTGTTATTGAGGTTGAGGGAAATAGAATGAGGACTCAGCAGGGAGGCCATGTGGAATGATTTGCATAAAATTCTGGTTAAAACCAATATAAAATTCTAGGGTAAATAAGATAGCACTAGCACAAAGGATGGAAGAGGAAGGATATACAGCAAAAAACTGGACTTTCAATGTATGAGAGTGAAAGACATTTGGAGCGAGTTAGCTAAAATTAATGAGGAAAAAAGAGTAGATAAAGTACATTATCAGAGAAAGAGCTCTGAAAGGAAAGGGAAAAGAGAAGAGAACCTTGGAAATAAAGACTCTCAGGGTCAGAAAAACCAGGAAATGTATGAATCAGAAAAAAAAATTCGCCATAAGTGAGGCTTCACTAGCCAATCCAACCCCCTACATTTGCAAAAGGATGCAACCCCATACCCTGACCCCATACCCTAACCTCTTTCTGGCCAGTGTCAGGAGATCCAAACTCCAAGGCAGAAACTTGATCAGGCTGTGGTAGCAGCAGTGTAGAGCTCTGCAATTCTGATCTAGAGAATTGAGGAACAGAGAGAACCTGGCAGGACATTGTGTTTTGGGGGAGCCGTGTGGCACTGACTAAGCCTGAAGGAAAGAGCTCAGCTTCTAGGTAAAGAAGGTATAGAAATAAGAGAATGGAAAACAACACAATTTGGAACCCTTACATGAAATCAATTTAATTTTGTGGAAATTTTACTCAGTAATGGGAAAACAGTTCTACTTTTTTACATCTGCTCAATTTTTTTAATAATAAGAAAGCTGTAAAAATCCAATGAATCTTCATAGCATATAAAATAAATTTAAAGTATTTTAAATAGTAAAGACTGGTAAAAAATTATATATATATGTACATATGCATATACATATACATATATGGACATATATGGATCCTTATAAATCTTATCAAAAAAAGCTTTCAGCTAAAGAACAGAGGGGAAATGGGAAAATTGCCTACATGTATCTGCTAAAGTAGGTACCACTGAGCATAGCTACCATGTAGGAGAGGGAATAGCCATTGAGACACTCAGAAATTTCCTAGTAGAAAATCCAAGAAAGGAGCCAGAAGTAAAGCTTGTGGCCTCAGATCAAAAAAGATGATATTTATGAAGTGTTTTGGAAATCTTAAAATGTTTATTATTATTAACTGAGAACAGATCGTGCCAGAGTAATTTTATTTCTTTTTTTTTAATTATTAGGTTGTTAGATCATCTGGATTCTGTTGACAGTCTGCTTAGATTTCTACAAGTATTTGTCAGTCTTTCATACTATTTCTGTGGATAAAATGAAGAAATAGACAATAGTTTTAGGGAGGTAGAATCAGAACTGATTGAATGTCTAGACTCAAAGGATAGTCATTAGTAGGCCAATACCACTGGAGGAAAGTCACTAGTAGAAGTTCCTCAAGGATATTCCTTTCATTCTGCAGTTTAGCATTTTAATCAATGGCTTGGATAAAGGCAAAAATGGAATGTTTATACAGTATACAGATCACACAATTGGGAGGGATGGCAAACTGGTCAAAAGACAGAGTTGGGATTCTAAAAATTCTTTTTTTTTAATTCTAAAAATTCTTGACAGATCTGTTTGTTAGTTTGGTTGGTTGTTGTGTTTTCCTTTAGCAATGGGGCAATGAGGTGAAATTTGATGGAAATAAATGTAAAGTTCTATTTATGTTCAATAAATAACCTTACAAGATGGGGTCATGTGTACAACAAGACAGAAGACTAAACATTTTCTCTGATCCCTACAAATTCTCAGATCTTTCCAAAATAGAAAGTTGTGCCAGAGATAAAAGCAATTCCAGCTGTCTCCCTGGTCTAGGACAAGAACCCAAAGGTAAAGACTTTGTGAACTATAACATCTATTTCACCTCACTCAGCCCCCAGTTCCCTTACCATTCACCAGGCTCCAGGTAGTGAGGCTTCACTAGCCAATCCAACCCCCTACATTTGCAAAAGGATGCAACCCCATACCCTGACCCCATACCCTAACCTCTTTCTTGCCAGTGTCAGGAGATCCAAACTCCAAGGCAGAAACTTGATCAGGCTGTGGTAGCAGCAGTGTAGAGCTCTGCAATTCTGATCTAGAGAATTGAGGAACAGAGAGAACCTGGCAGAACATTGTGTTTTGGGGGAGCTGTGTGGCACTGACTAAGCCTGAAGGAAAGAGCTCAGCATCCAGATGGAACCAGTTCTGTCCCTACCAAAAGTCACTTGGAGCAGAGATCTAGGTCAGGAAACTGTGAATTGCCCAGCATGGGAGGAAGCTGAGACTCAGAAATTCAGCTCCCAGAGGAACCACTAGAAGTGAGAGAGGAAAATAATGATAAAAAGACTGAAATTACTAAAGATCTCAGGAAGAAAAAAAAACATAAAGATCTTACACATAAGCAGATAAACCAACAGGGAAGACATTAAGAGCAGGAAGAAACATGGCTTCCAAATCTAGTAAACAAGTTCAGGCATCTATGAATAAATATTGCAAAACAAAGGAAAATGATTTAACATCTGATGATGCAGAGGACATTGGATTTTGAGGAGAGTATAGAACCACAGCGTGTTGTTCCTGGGTGGTTTAAAAGAGAAATGAGAATTGTGAGAGTAGAATTTATGGCCTGCACAGCAGAAATAATTGGCAAAATAGAAAAACGTGAATATACAATGACAAGTTTCACTAAAGACACAAAAGTGAAGACAAATTATTGAGAATGCAAATACCAAAGTGAAGGACAGGATAATCTGGAAGAAGAGAAGCAAAAATCAATAACATTAAAAGCAAACATACCATCCATACAAGTACAAGATGCGAGAGGTGTGGATACTCATCAGTTTGGCTGATAAAGATCTGAGTGTTCATCTGCAGTTCTGCTTGGTTTCAACTCCATGAACAAGATGCCTTCTGCTGTCTCCCCACCCCCGACAGATTTCCAGCTTTCTTTCCTGTTATCTTCCCCTATTAGATTGTAAGCTCCTTGAGGGCAGAGACTTTCTTTTTCTTATTTGTATCCCCATCACTTAGGACAATGCCTGGCACATAGTAGGAGCTCAATAAAATGTTTATGGAACTGAATTGAATGCAAACTAATTATAAGTTAACCATGATTTATGGCAACTACAAAAGGATTGATGCAATTTGAATCTGTTTTAAAAGAGGTATAGTGAAAAAAAGGGGGGGAGCAGCTAGGTGATGCAGGGGATAGAGCACTGGCCCTGGAATCAGGAGGACCTGAGTTCAAATCCAGCTTCAGATACTTGACACTTACTAGCTGTGTGACCCTGGGCAAATCACTTAATGCCTAGCCAAAAAAAAAAAAAATGTCGTGTCTAGAATGAGAAAAGTGACGGTCCATATCTGGAGTACTGTGCTCATTTCTAAGAGGCATACTTTAGAAAATACTTTGATAAACTGTACAGCATCTAGAAGAGGACAACCAAGATGGGGAAAGGCTGAAGAACAGCTGAAGGAAATGGAGATAATTAGCCTGGAGAAGAAAGGACTTAGGAACATAATAGCTGTCTTAAAGTGTTATGTGAAAGAGGAATTAGATTCCTCCTAGAGTTAGAGGACAGAATTATGAACAATGAATGCAAATTTCAAAATGGCAGATTTACACTTGATATAAGGAAAAACTCTCAAATAATCAGTACACATAAAATGGAATGAAATGCCTTGGAGTGAAAGTTTTATCCTTATTGGAGATCTTCAAACAATGGTTAAATGACTGTATATGGATGTTAGAAAGGATTCTAGGTCACGTATGATCTCTGTGCTCTTTTCCAACTCTGAAATTATTTGATTCGATGAATGCATTAAACCAGTAATACATGTACTCATGTACACTCTAATTAAATATTTGTTATGGACATATACATATTACCTTATATCTATGCCTTCATATAAACATATGTAGTAGCACCAGCTTCAATAGCCTCTCTCATAGACACTATGGATACTATTACTGTTTCTTTAAGAAGCAATGGAATCTTGGGAATAATAAATTAAATCTTATTCTAGAGAGAGACTGAACTACAAAAAGAAAGGACTAAGGTAACCTCTTTTCTGAGAGAACTTTTATTTTACTCTTATTTTATAAAGAAAAAATGTGAAGAGAATTCTTGAGAAGAGAATTTAATTGGTCTTCTGAGAAAACTGAATGTGGGCGTGTATTTCCAGAATTAAGAAGTTAGCCCTTAAGAGTGATAGATAGAAGTGACTCAGGGTGCTTGCTTTCTTATAGCTTGATACACAGTAAACCATTATTTATATGTTAGTTTTATTACTTTTTTTCTATTTATATATTGTCTAGCCGGTTAATTGTGAAGTTTATTTAAGGCTAGGAGATTTGGGGGCTTGATATAGAGAGGGAAAAATGAGAAAAAGCTTATGGTAAAAGATTTCTCCAGTTTATTTAATAATAAATATATTTTAAAAAAACAAAGAGCTAATTGATTAACTAATGGAGCCATTGTGATTTTAGTAATTAATGAGGAAGTATCAGAACATGTCTCTTGTGTTACCAGGAAGGATTTGTGATAGTTGTATTTTGTATCAACTTACCTCTGTGGGAGTCTGCTGTGCCTTTTTATCAGATTTCTGCAAGTCTTTACTTCCTCTTCTTTTCAGTGATAGCTGCAACAAAGAACAGGTATATTTATAGTTGGCTTAATGTAAAATCTAAATCAGTTTTATTTTCTGAAAGGTATTCATCAAAATGGTATGATAATCATGATACAAACTATCTAATTGAATAATATCAATCATTCTACAAAAATAATGAACATTAAGAATTAAAAAATGATAAAATACAAATAGCTTCATTTAGGGAAGATGGCAAAACACAGAAAATGATAGGTGAATTTGGGCTAGGCAAATTATTCTGATAATAAAGAATTAAAGTTGAATTCAGGACATCCTAGTTTTATATATCTATATGAACTTATTAGATGTTATCTGTCTATTTGTCTGTCTGTCTATCTTTCTATCTATTTATCTATCTAGTATTCATTTAGTTATCTTGAGACAGACTGGCATTATGGTTAGATTATGAGGTGAACATTGGTGCTGCCCCAAACTCTAGCCTCATGCAGTATAGAATTCAGCTTCCACAATAGAGGTTAGGCAAGAAATTGGATACATCAAATTTAATTATGTCAGCTCATTAATTCCAAGATACTCCATAATATTAAATGAGGACATAAATTCAGGTAGTGGAGGCAGGGAAACAGTAAAGTTTGTTTCAACCACATTTAAATGTAAAATTGGGACCATAGAGTCAAATGAACATCCCAGGTCTTTATTTACATCTATATCCTTCATACTTCTTATAAACACATCAAAGACGAAAGCTATAATAATGATGATGATGATGATGATACCTGATATTTATATAGCCATTTAAGTTACAAAGTATTATCATGTAGCCCCATTCCCCTCTCCCACGTGGGCTTGGCAATCCCCTGAAGGCCAGTCCTATGACAGAGCATAAAAGCACGTCAATCCTCCATCCTTGAATTCACATTTAGTATCTTGTAAGACCCTTACAAAGACCCCATGAAGTATGGAAGAAAGGTATAATTATTACTTGAGGAAATTGAAATTTAGATAGATCAACTGACTTGTTTATGCCAACATACCTGGTATAGGACAGAGCAACTCAAACCCTTGTCTTTTGATTAAAAGTTCAATCTTGTTTTCACTGTACCATTCAGTAGCTAATATGCCTATACTAATCAATTGGAGTGCTGGGCCTAGAGTTAGGAAGACTCATCTTCCTGAATTCAAATCTGGCCTCAGAAACTTACTAGCTGTGTGACTCTGGGCAAATCATTTAACCCAGTTTGTCTCAGTTTTCTTATTTGAAAAATGAGCTATAGAATGAAATGGCAAATCACTCCAGTATCTTTGCCAAGAAAACCCCAAATGCGGTCACAAAGAGTTGGACGTAACTAAAACAACTGAACAACAACAACATCACATTATCTCATCATAGATTTATAGCTGAGAGGCAACTGAAGAGTTGGACATGATTGAAACAACTGAGCAACAACATCAAAACAAAAAATTGCCACTAACCTTCATTTGGAAACAATAAGAATTAGCATTTATATAGCACCTACTATGTGCCTTCACAAATATTAACTCATTTGAACCCCACAACAACCCTAAGAGGTAAGTGCTATTATCATGCCCATTGTGTGGTTGAGGAAACTGAGGCAAATAGAGGTTAAATCATTTACCTAAGGTCAAAAAGCAAGTAAATGTCAGTTAGGATTTGACCTGAGGCTCACAGGAAAGCAAGTGAGCAAGAATTTAAGAGAGTGGGTTTGTGTTTCTATTTTTCTAAATAAGTCTTAAGAAGAAGAATGGGGTCAGTTAAATAAAGTGAACTACAATTAAGATATATATGTATATTTGTGTGTATGTGTGTATAAAAATGCATATATGTATATCTATGTATCTATGTATATATGTGTATATATACCTTCCAGGAATAAATTGATGATAGTACCTCTATTCTCTGCAATATAGTGTTCAGCATTGGACATCATAATTTTAAAAAGGACACTGAAAACCTAGACAGCATTGAGTGGTGAAAAAAATAGGATGATGAAGGGCCTTAAGGCCGTGCCATAAAAGGACAAATAGAAGGAAGTGGGGGTGTTATCTTGAAAAAGAGATGACAGGGATGGGACTGGGGAGCAAGTACATGAGAGCTGTGTTCAAGCATGTAGAAGGGCTGTCATGTGACAGGGGTATTAAACTTGCTTTGTTCGGTTCCAGAGAGCAGAACCAGGAGCAATGAGGAGAAGCTGCAAAAAGGAAAATTTATTAGGCTTAAATAAAGTCAGCAAAAACTTTCTAACAATGAGAGTTGTCCAAAAAGCAAATGGTGGGTTCATTTTCACTGAAGGTCTTAGAGTAGTCTGAAAGACCATTTGCCAGGTATGTTATATAGAGGGGATTCCTTTTGGTTATTGATTGGCCTAGATGGCACCTGGCATCCCTTCCAATTCTAGTAATTTTGGGGTTCTATAATTCTGTGATTCTGTGGAAGACCATGATACTTCAGAGAAAGGAGTCATCAGGACATGGTAGATATTATACTGCCCTAGGAGCTGGGTACTAGCACCAGCTTTTGCCACCAGCTAGGGTGTGACCCTGACTAGGTCTTTCCATCTCTCTTGGGATCCTAGGCTTCTTATCAGTGCAAATTTACCATATCTAGCCTAGACTCAGACACACCATAACACTCTTCAACCATATTCATGCTACTTTGCATATACCCTTCTCTAAATACCACCCTCCCCTTCCTTCCCCCCACCAACCTCTTGATTTCCAACTCTGGTTCTGAACAAAATAATCAAATCAACACTATCAAAACACTGGCCACCACTCCTCTATATCTTCTGTCTTCAATTTAAGCTCCTTGAGGAAACGGACTGTATTCACTTGTACAGTGTTCCAAAATTCTTTGTGTAGTTTTAAGCTATTAAAGCTTAAAGCTGCACCAAGACTGTATTTATAATACCTAGCACTTAGCACAGTGCAGTAAGAGCTTAATAAATGTTTCATCATCCATTCAGCCATTCTCTTGGCCTCAGTTTACTCAGCTATAAAATGAGGGAATAGGACTTGAAAATCCTTAAGGATCTCTCTCGGCTCTGAAATTGATTCTGTAGTCCTAAGGGGAATCTTGCATAACTACGTGGTTAGGGTTTGGCATTCTGTACAAGGACAAAAGAAAATGTGTTTTCCCCTTGAAGTCTCCCCTGATGGAACCATAAAAGAAACATTCTAAAAACCATTTAAGTAAAATGCTTAGGAATAATGAACAACAACAAAAACAAAACAATCACAACCACAAAACAATGAAATATTAAGAAGATATAAGATCATCGATTTAGAAATAGAAAGGACCTTAGAGGTCATTTAGTCCAACTTCTTCATTTTATAGATGAGGAAATTGAGTCCTAGAAGGACTGTGTCTCATCCAGTCACGTGGGGAGTAAATGGAAGAGTTGGGATTTGATCCTGAGCCCTCTGACTCCAAAGTCAGACCCCACATTTTTCTTTATCATGAGAAACACAGCTTGATTTTTGCAGCACCATAAGTTTAAGATCTAGACAAGGAGTACTTAGCCTTTTTTCTGTCATGGCTGCCTCGAGCAGTCTGGTAAAGCCTATGGAACCCTTCTCAGAATAATGTTTTTAAATACATAAAACAAAGGAACTTGCTTATATGGAAATATAGTAATCAAGATATTGTTTTTTAAAGTTCCTGGACTCCAAGTTAAGAACTCCTGCTTAAAGGCAGGTTTCAGAAAAACCTGGAAAGATTTACATGAACTGATGCTGAGTGAAGTGAGCAGAACCAGAACATTGTACACAGTAACAGTCACATTGTGTGATGACCAGCTTGGATAGACTTAGTTCTTCTGAGCAATGCAATGATCTAAGACAATTCCAAAAGACTCATGACAGAAAATGCTATCCATATCCAGAGAAAGAACTATGGAATCTGAATGCAGATTGAAGCATAGTATTTTCTCTGTCTTTTTTTTCTTTCTTGTGGTTTTTACCTTTTGTTCTGATTCTTCTTTCACAATATGACTAATGTGGAAATATGTATAATATAATTATACACATATAGCCTATATCAGATTGCAGGCCTTCTTGGAGGAGGGAGAGAGATGGGGAAAATTTAGATCCAGGCATTGAGTAGTTATTTTGCAAAGTTTTGCTTTGAGCAAGGAAGGAGAATAGAAGGGTCAATTTTAAGCAAGAGTTCTTTTTCAATTTAAGAATTTTTTTTTTTTAGTATTTATTTATTTTTAGTTGACTCCCATACCATCCTCATCATGAACTCTGGGCCTCTTCTGTTTAAGAATTTTCAGTAGCTCCTTATTACCCACAGAACAAAACATAAAATCCTTCAGTTCAGTCATTTTTCAGTTGTATCTGACTCTTCATGTCCCTATTTGGTGTCTTCTTGGCAAATATACTGGAGTGGTTTGCCATTTCTTTCTCCAGCTCATTTTACAAATGAGGAAACTGAGGCAAATAGAATTAAGTGACTTGTCCAGGATCACACTGCTAGTAAGTAGCTAAGGCCAGATCTGAACTCAGGGAGAGGAATCTACTAGTGTACCATCTAGTTGCCAATATAAAACCCTTAGCTTGGCATTCATAACCCAGTTCCAGCCTATCTTTCCAAGTTTATCATTTGTTTTGAACCATAATGGCCTTCTTAGTATTCTCTGAACTTGTCATTATCCCACCTCTATCCTTTTGGTCCTTACATCCATCCTCCCCTGAGAGCAGTGGAGGACAAGAAGAGCATTGGCTGCAAAGGTGTATATATTGGGATCCTTCCCTGCTCCTCTTGTGTCAAGTGCTGCTTAGAGCTCCAGGTTGTCCCCCATGTTTGGAATTCACTCTCTTCATCCGGCCTCTTAGAATTACCAAATATTCTTAAATGTTCATGGGCCATTTCCTTTGGGGAACTCTTCTGGATACCCTGAATTATTAATGCTCTCTACTGCTTCACATTATTATGTAAATTTACCTGTTTACATGTTATCTTCCCACCTGCCCCATAGAATATAAGCTTCCTGAAGGCATGGGCTAGT